TTTTAATAATCATAATAAAAATAATAAAACAATATATTATATTAACTATAATTGTATTATTTAAATTACAAAAATTATTTATTTATTCAATAAAAACATCAGTATTTATTAATAATATTAACCAAAATATGAATTTTATTTTATTATTATAAGACATAACTGTTACAATTGAAGTGATACTATTGTTATATAAAATAATCATAACATATTTCTTTATTGATTTGTTATATTTCAATTAAAAAATCATATTGTAGTTACTATTATTATTAAATCAGCAGATTATACATATTTTATCAAATTTTTACATATTTAGGTAAATAAAAAACAGTAAATAAAAAAACAGTAAATAAAATCAGTGCTTGAAAGAGATCCTGTAATAATGTAATCCAGCTTTTCTGTAGTTACAGTATATGTGATTAAATGCTGTGATGAATGTTTTATGTTATAATGTCAGAAACTCTCCTGAAGCTCGTGTCAGTCTTGTGAGGAATCATTATATTCATGATACAAACATCAATTCAGATCTGATCTCAAGCTCATTTCTCATCGTCTTTTATTATTTATGCACGAAAACAATAGAGAAAGATGATACATGAGGATTTCTGACACATTTATTCTGAGTGTTATTTCAGTGACAGAAGTTGAGCTGCAGTATTAATGTCATGAAGAGACTCTATAACATCTCACTGTCACTGATTTATCATGCAGCTCAAAGCATTATGGGTAGAATCTCTCCTCAGTCTCTGATTCATCAACACAGTTTCACTGATGATCCATAATAAACAGCAAACCCAGGATAGAGCGGCTGAGTGAATGCGGTCTGGACTGTGTGGATGAGGCTCATTGTGTCAGAGACGCTGTAGAAGGACAGAGTTCCTGCACTGTGATCCACAAACACTCCTATTCTCCTGCTGCTGCTGATGGGCTTCACAGAGAGAATAGTGTGTTTGTTATTGTGTCTGAATGAGTAACCGGAGGAAGAGCAGAACAAACTCCAGGACTGATCATTACGTCCAAACTCACACTCAACATCCCGTCCCTTCCTGCTGATGCTCGTATATGACACTGATATACACACATATCCACTCCACTCAATCTCCCAGTAACAGCGTCCACACACACTCTCTCTACACAACACCTGACGACACACATTAAATCTGTCTGGATGATCAGGATACAGCTGATTCTCTCTCACATGCGTCACCTTTCTGTTCTCCTCAGACAGACTGAGTTCAGTGTTTGCTGTGTTTGGATCCAGTGTGAGAAAACAGACCCCTGAACACAAGAACAGAGACATTAATAACAACAACAATCACTACAGCTGTGTGTGTGTGTGTGTGTGTGTGTGTGTGAGAGAGAGAGTGTGTGTGTGTGTGTGTGTGTGTGAGTGCCTTCTGATTGGTTAATCACGCTCGCGCGCAGTGGAGGCGGGGTCTCTTTTGAGCACGTGATCTGCATATGGACGAGCGACACAGCAGCGGCCAATTAGTTAATTAAATAAAGTATTAAGATTTATATATTGATTCATACAAATCGGTTTAGTCTATATAAGCTTATTTTCTGTGCATTGTTGACTGTTGGCAGTCGTTAAAAGATATATTCACGCAGTTATAATCCGTATACGATATAAAAAGCTTGAAGATAGGCCGCGACTTAATGTATGTAACGTTACATTATTGCTTATGAAATATTAGCAATATTAAAAGTATGTCGGAAGTTTTGTAAGAGCTGTGAAATCAATGAGGAAATAGACTCTTTATAAAGCCTCCACATGCCTTGAATTGGCGTCGTGATTGAGAGATTAATCATATTTGTTCACAGAAATGGCTTTATTGGTAAAGAAAAGACGATAATAAAGAGAATGAGGCATAGTTATGTATGACAGAAATCTAGATAATTAATGGCTTTGAGAAGCTAATAGATGCTAATAGACATAACACGGGCAATGTGCGCTATTCATATGCATTCAGAAGCGCAAAATGAACATTTAAATGACAGAAATGAATGTAATCTGCTTGTAACACGTTCTGCATTTGTGCTAATATTTAATTAGTCGTCTTTAGATTAAATGGCTTTGGGGAATATATGCGTTTCGTTAGCTATACTTTAAGATGGGTTTATGTAATATTGTAAACGTTTAAATTAATGTGTCTTTTTACTAGATTTGTACTTCTTTACTTGATGTCAGTTAACTGTAACAGAGGTCAGCTCAGTCAGCTTTAAGAGTA